AATAGTTTGTACAGGGGAAATTCATATTACAAAGAATTGAAATATGACGTTGTCTCACTCCAATCTCAAGGATTTGACGAACGATCGGTCGTTTTGGTCGAAATGATTGATGGCACAAGTTTGTGTTTTATTATTCATTAATAGTTTGGAACTAAAATAAATTAGTTATTTGATGATATGAAATTGTAATCATTTGTAGAACTTAAAAAGCCAAAAGTCAAACCCCAACAAAACGAAGAAGATGATTTTGTTGAGGAAGTCATGTCCTCTCTCTCACAAAATGGAGTAATTGATTTTGAGTAAGATATTTTATTGATTTTTTGATTGAATAATAAATTAAAGTAATAGTTTTATATAATTATATTTTATATGAGTTGTTTTATATGAAACTAATTTCTTTTAACACTTTTGTTATAATAAATAGATTAATGAAATATAAAAAAGAAAATATTTAATTACAGTTAATAATTGACAATAACTTTTCATATTAATTATAATTGAACATTTCAAAAACATCAATGTTTTGTTTAAATATTTGTAATAAACTCAATTTTAAAAGTTATAATGTCAATTTATTAAAACTCAAAGAAACCAAAATTTATGTTGTTGTTTGAATAAAGTTTGTGTATTTTATGTCAAAAAATACAAACAAATAAAATTTATTTTCAATACCAAGTGTTAGACTCAGAATTGAAATAATTTCACATATTAACTCATTTGAAATAAGTTAATTGGTGAATTTTAACTTTTAAAATTAAATGAAAAATGTTTTGATGTTTTTTTAAATATATTAAAATAAAATAGTTATTTTGTAAGTTATATATAATATACATATACACTATTTGTCAAAAAAGATGTTGTTTGAACATTGAAAGTTGTTTTAAAACACAAGGTAATATTAAAAACAAAAAATGAAAAGTGTAAATTATTTTAATTGAGTAATATCAATCAAAATATTTATATTTATTATTTTTAACTGTTTGTTAACATATATCAATTGAATCTAAAATAGTGTTATTGGTTCGGAGGATATAAATTACCAGTTTTTTTTGATACAAGTAACTACGAGTGTTGTCATCAAGTCAGGGTATATAAACTAATTTGAATTTAATAATACAAAAATGTTGTTCTTTGCTTTGTTTGTTGTTCTAAGTGTTGGACAGCCAAGAGACTTAACATTGAAAGAGTGTCCATATACTTCGAAAAGTCCAGACATAAATGTTAACAATATATTTGTGTATGACGATAAAGACAAGAAGTCTGTGTCATTTACACTTGTTATCACTTCAAACAAGGAACTGACAAAGGCTGGTCTTTCTTTTTCTGCAGATTCTTTTATCATGCAACAGTACACTGGACACATCGATATTCAAACAGTTGATTTGATTTTTGCAATTGGGAAGGAAGGTAAAATCGAAAAGGGAGTGCACACTCTTAAAATAGAAGTTCCTTACTCACAACTAAGCACTGTGGCAAGTTATGTGCTCACTTTTGATATTTCATATGGAGATGAGCAATTGAGATCGTGTGTGAATGTCGACTACAGAGCATCACCTTCATCAAATTAAGTCAACACTTTTGGTATGTTATATTTTGATATGTAACAAATAATACAAACTATAAATAGTTAATACTTCAATTATGTAAATAACAATGGAACAAGTTGTAATGTTAAGTGACCACAAAACATAATTTGTCAGAACACAATTCTGAGAAGTTGTGACACGAGAAGAGTTATTTGTCACACTTCTAATTGTAATAATAATGGTGTTATGTTATTACACATTCAGATGAATAGAATCACTTTAGTTGTCATCAGGCGAATGAACTTGATAACCACAATGATTGGAGTAACAGTGTTGTTATTATTTATAATACCGATATCGAAGTCACAAGAAAGAATATTTGTGTTGGACAAGTGCATCTTTTCACTTGACAACCCCGACATTCAAATCACAGAGATCAAAGGGAGTGACGACAAGAAGAGTCACAAGGTAATGTTTGGAGTTACAATTGACACAAAAAGAGAGATCAGAAAGGCGCAGTTTTACTTTGAAGGTGATGGCTATGTCTTTCACTTATTGATTGGACACGTGAACATCAAAACGTTTGATTTGGTAGAGTTGATAGGTGAAGAGGGTGTGATCAAGGTGGGCAAACGAGAAATAGAAGTTGGAGCGAATTACAGTGTTCTCCACCCATATGCAAGTTATGTTCTTGTGTTCAAAATCATGTATGGCGACAATGAACAGTTAAATTCGTGTGTGATGATCGACTACAGAGCGCCACCGCCATCAACATGAGTTGATAAAGTTGTTTGATTTGTTTTTGTTTTGTTTTAATTGCGATGAAAGTAATGTATAAGTGATGTGATAAGTTGAGGTAATATAGTAATTATTATAATAAAAGATAATTATAATGATAATGATTGGTTAGTTACATGACGACTAAAAAATGATTTAAAAAAATGAATAAAAAAAGAGAAGCATGTCATTCAGGCGATGTGGAGAGGCAACACAACAACAGCGTGCGACGCACTGTGTGCTGAGGCAGTCGAGGAGAGACAGACTGTTTGCACTGATGCACACAACACCACGTGACAGCAACAACAGCAGTGTCTGTGCGAGTAAAGGAATTTTGTGTGGAGTGATGAGAGGGGTGTGTGGTGGAGTCAATGGAAGTGACGACTATCAAGGGCGTGAAGTGATAAGTGTGATGAGTGTGCCGACGATGTTGTGTGATGGAAGGGAGTGGACCTCCCACAAAATGCCGTGTTATAGTGAGGATGAGTGTGAGAAGTGTGTTTATGTAGTCCACTTTGTCTTTGTAGTGCGTCTTTTGATGATTCTTGTACGTGAGAGGCGGTGTGTGACGTGTGTGATAGAGACGATGTGTAGTCTGTGTGTGTCAGAGCGTGTTGTGTGTTGGTTGCTCACACGAGTTGATGTGATAGAGGAGTGTTGTCTGTGTGATGTGTGTTGTAGTGATGATGTGTGTTGTGGTGTGTCGGCACTGCTCGCAACACTCAGCGAGTCGCTCACTTTCAACACAACACACATCAAAAGTGCTCTTCGTCTTGTCGGCGTTCTCTCGCATTGCAGCAATGATGTGGTCTTTCTCAACACGACGCGTGCGATGTGTTCTCTTCTCAAGCGCAATGAATGCGCTGATGCCGTCATGCGCAGTGGTTATGTGATGTGCTGTCTCATCAAATTATCAAAAGCATCGCATCAAAGCGACAGCAACGATGCCAAAGAGAGTGGCAACACACAACATCTCTCTGTTGCATTGGAAGCACTCGAATATCTGACACACCACATCGTTTGCAGTCACACACCATCAGACTTCATCAAAATCCTCAAAGTTCTTTCTGAAGTGATTGCAACACAACAAATGTGTGTTGTCACTCGTATCTTTGACATCACCCGTTATGCACTTGCCTCACATGACACTGCTGTGATCAAATGTATCACACAAAGTCGCATCTTTTCGATGTGTTGTGATGTGTTGTGTTGTTGGAATTTGTCCATCTTCACTGAAGCGGCTCAACTGCTTGCTGCTGTGATCGATGCCAATTTGTCATCACAAACACTGTCTGACACTCATGTCATTTGTGCTATGAATTGTGTCCTCATGTCTCAACAAGTGACTCCAACTCTCATCATCATCACATCTTTGCATCAAACACTTCACACTCTCAACATCACTACAACACTCTCTCTATTGTCAGCGTTCAATCAATTTGGGCTGACTGACACTATCAAGTCTTTGGCTTCTTCACATCACACAAAACTCGCACTGCCAGCTCTCAATCTCTTTCGTCTCTGTGAACTTTTATATGCTAAAAATCAATGAAATATTACATTAACACTTTAAATAACATTGAACAAAATTCAAGTGGTCTAAAAATCGGGGAAATCTCGAGTTTATTAAATAAATTTCCGTTTTTTTAGAGTTTATTTTATGTGCATAAACAATACACAAGCCAAAAAAGGAAAATTGTCAAAAATTGGATTAATATCCCTAGAAAAACAGGTCAAAACAAAAATAAGGGCGTTATTTTAAGTGTTAACTATTTTTTTCTATTTTAATACTACATAATGAAACTCCATTAAAAACTTTTATTTGGAGTTGTTAGTTGTTTTAATATAATTAGTGATTTGTGGTTGATACTTTAATTTATTTTATAATTATATTATTAATACATAAGTATAATTTATTTAATTACATATATATTAAATATATCTTATAACAAGATTTTTTAAGTAAAACAAAAAAACTATTTTTTTATTAGAATTTGTAGTTATTTTCTTAAAAAATTTTTGACTTACAATTTCCTGATTATTTAATATTAAACTCTGTAATTAAATTTAATAAAAAAAGTGGTGATTTTAGTTCATTTTTTAATTTTTTTTGATTTTTATTGGTATTTTTGTGAAGTTATTATAACCTAAACAATTATAATACATTAATTATATAATAAACCATAAAAAGTAACAATTTTTTTCAATTAATCAATTTGATTTCCTCAAGAAGGCGTAAAGAACTAATAAAATCTGAATGAATATCCGTCGAAAAAATCGACTCCGTGTAACTCAAACCCCTCAACCAATAACTACAACATATGACACAAAGCTCACAACACGAACAGAAGTCAGAAAGTACTTAAAACACCATCCACAAGAACCTTCTTTAGACTTCTTACGTTCATTCTCTGAACCTCTTCCTCACAAGATAGTGATCAATCCAAGTCCCGAACTCGAAAAGGACATCGTCCGTGTTAATCTTCCTCCTCCAAAGCCACTCACCCAGAAAGAGTATCAAAGTCTCATTGGAAAAGTTCTCTTCGCGTTGGAGGCTGCTACTGGCTCGTATTACCCACATCTTATCAATGCCACATCATCACTTCTATATTTAGATAAGTCGCCAGAGTTTGCGTATGGAGTGCTCCACGCGCTTGTCAACAAAATTCCGGAGTACTTCACACCGTCGATGACTGGTGTATTGGCTGATGTGGAAGTTGTGAAGCGCCAGATGTTCATTCGGTCGAACGTCGAGTTGTCGCATGAAATTTCTGCGGTGGTATCGAGGTGGCTTGTCTCGTTTCTGTCGACTGATCTTCCATTGTACACGTTTGTTGAGTTGTTACAACTTCTTTTGGTACGAGGGGCAAGTGTGTTGGTCTCAAATTCTGTCGCAATGCTTTGTCGCATAGTAATTGAATGCAAAATTTCTGAAATAGAAATGATCTCATATTACCCCCGAACTTTTTATCGCTTTGGTAAAATATCAGAATTTAGCTCTCTTTATTTTATCGCAAACTATGAGCAAATGCATGCAGAGGCAAAGAGCGATGTTGAAATCAAGATAGCGAAGACTTTAAGTGTTGCAGCGATACGCGACGACATCGATGGCGTTGAAAATTTGTTTGGCTTTGATCGAGAGAAGTGCACATTGATAGTATCCAAGTCCGAGTCAGTGAAGAAAAAAGACCTTCAAATCATGTACCAATTTGCTGATCTTTTTTGGGGGCATTTCAGTGGAAGTTGGAGGAAGTTTGTGATTTGTGTTATAGCGTGGAAGATCTCAAGTAGTAATTGTTTGCGAGCACGGGCGTTATTTTGGGGGTTAAGAGAACGATGTAAAACAGTCCGACGAAAAACGGTTATACAAGCGATCAAGACGATGCTTGAAAAGAGCGAAATTAGTATTGATGACAACTTGGAGAATGTCTTCCCAGACAGTACCATCGACGAAACTTCTTTTGTGATGGCTGCACTTGGTTCGTTCGAGGAGTTATTTCAATATGGAGAATCGATGAACCTTGAGCAATCACTGTGGTATGACCAGATCATCAATTTTTTAATTTAGTCGTGTTATTTCTATTAATAGTATTATTATAATATATGTATGATATATTTATCATATATAATATTAGTATAAGTTACTAATAAAAATATTAGAATTGTACAATTAAAAAGAGCATCTAAAGACTAATACATGACTTGAATTACAATACAATAGTTACTCATCGAAAAGCATTGGGGCGTTTCTTCTTTTGACTTCGAACTCATTTTGTACGATAGCGCCATTGCATGAATTAAGTATTCGCTGTATCTCATCATCAACAAAGAGAGAGTTTGGTGTTATTGGTGAGTCAATTCTTTGAATCATCTGAGGGAAAATGGTTGGTTGGAAGTAGTCGGTGTTGTTGAGGCTCATTATTGTTCTTCTCGTGTGTGAACTCATCTTTTGAATAATACAAAGATGAATCCCTTTTTATTCTACTGAAAAAAGTTTCTGAAATGATTTCCCGAATTTTACTCGGCTCTTGGGCTATTTTTGTCTATATGATCAATGAAAAGTCGTGGAAGTTTTTCATCTCCGGATTTTTAAAATCTTCTTTGGAAAGTCAACACTACCCCAATCAACTTTCTGTGCTATTTTTACTGTATTTTTTCTTTTTTGATGAGATGACTTCCCATTCCTCCTGTATTAAAAGAATGTATAGTATATTTATAGTTTTTAAATTATATTTATTAATTAATTGGTTTTTAAAAAACAAAAATTTTATACCAAATAATATGAGGGCTATTTACTATAAATATTTTTTTACAGAACAAATTTATTATTTCATTTTTAATAAAAATTCTATCAAAAAAATGAGAGAGAAAAGGTTTTTTCAATGATAATGAGATTTCTTTATTCGTTTCTAGTTACAGTAAAACTATTATTCTAGTTCTTTTACTTTTCGGATGAAATCACAAACTAATTCACCTTTTTTGCCCTTCCAAAAATGTACTTTTTAAAACAATCTAAACTGTATTATACAGACTAAATAATAACAAAAAGCTTTTATGAGACAAATCATAATAGAAAGTCAATAAAGTATTAGAAAATCATCACAATTTGTTGTACAAAATACACTTGAAAAACGGGAAACTTTTCATATATGGAGGTTGAAGGGGTATTAAAAAATATCTGCAATTCAAAAGAAATGAAAAACCACTTTAGTCTTTTTAACCGCTTTCTATCTTTTTAATGGTTTTTAATAATAAAACAATAATAAATGTATAATACTAATTACCAACTCAAACAGAAAAATTCCTTATAGGGCTTTTTCAGCCTTCATAGTAAACAGTACCATACATTTTATTATATTATTATTATTCAAAACTATAAAACAAATTTTTACAAATTTGTTTAAGTATAATAAATTATAATAAGTTTATTATTTATATTATAATAACAGTATTAATTTTTTATTATAATATGATCTAATAATAGTTATATTATTAATAAAAAGAATAAATAACTAAGTAATGAAAGTATGACTTAAGAATTAGTTCACTGATTGTTTGAAAGGTGAGTTAGCGATGTGTCTTCTATTGAGTTTGCAATTGACGTTATAATCACCCTTAACAGCAGGGAGAGTATATGAGATGAAGTACTTTCCTTCACCGAGGTGTTTAATTTTAATCTTTTGTTCCTCGAGTTTCCCCTCTGGCCCGTCCAAGTCGACGGTGAATTTAGCTTTGCCGTCCTTTTGTATTTGTCCTCTTCTATTCTTTGCTTCGACAACAAAGCAGAAGTTTTCGACGCCACTTTCGTCGGCGTCTGCGTCTTCTTCGACTTCCAAGTAGTAAGGGGACTTAGCGACCTTATCGTTATTCAATGTGATCTTGACACGGATCTTCCCAGCCTCTGCCTTATAATGGACGTCATAAGTTCCATTTTCTTTATCGACGACTGTGCATGGTAAGTTACCTTGTTTACGTTGTCTGATCTTTTTGCCTTCAATTTCGGGCTCTTTACTTTCTTCTTGAGCTTTTTCGTCTTGTTTTGGTTGTTCTTCTTTAGTTTCTTCTTGTTGACTTTCTTCTTGTTTGCTCTGTTCTGGAGTGCCTTCAATAGTTTTTTGGTCTTCATTTTCATTTGAGGGGTTAACGGTGTCTTGTAACATCGCAAACATCTCATCGGCGCCGTCATCTTCATCATTGACTTCTTCTTCATTGTCCTTTTCATCGTCAGTGTCTTCCTTTTCTTTTTCGCCGTCTTTCTTCTCGTCGGTGATTATAGAGATCTGGTCGATAGTGACTTGGAACGGAGTATCTCCATGCTCAACCTTTTTATTATCAAAGTCCATAGCTTGTATAGTAAAGATATTATCATCTTCATCATTTGGTTCTGTTATGCCTTGTCCTTCGACTATACAGTTCTTCGGCTCGACTCCATTTAAGATCTCTGGTCTATACACAGACCCTTTGATGTCTTTAAATTCCTCTGGATGTTCCGGATCTTTTAATGTGATTTTGACTTCATAGAATCCGGGCTTCTTCGCTTTATATTTGACGTCATATGTCCCATTCTTCTTATCATTAACTTTTGGCGTTTGTACCTCTCCTTCAGGGTTCTTGACTTCAACTTTGAACTCGTCACCTCCTTTAGTGCATTTAACACCAGACAGAGTGACGGCTTGGATTCTAAAGACTGGGATTTTATCAATCCCGATCTTCCCATCAACGCCTGGCCCATACGCATATGAATTTAACAGACACGCTGTCGATGGATCTTGTAAGATCTTACAAGTGAAAGGCGAGTCTTTGATATGATCAAAGTTAGTAGGCACGTCCGGATTACGTAACATGACTTCCACTTGATATTCTCCCGGTTTAGTAGGTTGATACTCCGCATGATACGTCCCGTCCTCATTCTTAGTGACTTTAGCTTCAATTTCATTATCGTCTGGGTCGGTGACACAGACATCGAAATTAGTGTTCTCTGCTGGGTCGCAAGGTTCTCCATTTGACTTAATAGGATGTATAGTGAACTCCGCTGGGTCTCTCGAATTAGCTCCACCATTGACTCCCGGGCCTTCCGCATATGATTTAGTCGGATCTGCCGAATTTTTGTTCAATTCGACTTTGACGTCGACGGGCATCTCTTTAATTCTTTTGAGGTTTTCATTTTGAGATTGTTGGTCGTCTGTTTTCTTGTCATCCTGTTGTGCCTCTTCTTTTGGTCGATCTTCTGGGAGTTTGACCAAGACGTCGATATGGTGATCTCCAACCTCTTTAGCTGTGTAATTGACATCATAAGTTCCATCATTGTTATCAATAACTTGGACGTCAGCTGGAGTAGTAGGTCCAGTTACTTTGACATCGAAGACTAAGCCACCTTTTTTGAGTGGTTCATTAATTCTATTTCTTGCTGTTATTTTGAACGGCGCTGGGGTTTTAGTCTCTGCAGTCTTAAGACCTTCACCATCTGCTGTGCAATTCAAAGCGTCTGGGATCTCATCGTAAACATAAACATCAATTGGAGTGTTTTCTACTTGTTCGTCATTCACTTGAACTTCGACTTTATGAATGCCAGGAACTAATGGAGTGTATTTCACTTCATATGTCCCATCATCTTTGTCAACTACTTCACATGTAACTTCATTCCCTTGTGGATCAACTATCTTCACTTTAACAGCATCACCACCATGCTTGACTTCTTTGCCATTGTTGTCTCGGCCAGTTATGGTAAAGTCGGATGGGATGTTCACTTCTCCTGTTTTAATGCCATCTCCATCTACTGTGGAAGTTGCTCCCCTCATCTTTTTGGGTCGAAGCTTCACAGAACAATTCATATCATGTTTTTCTAAAAAGACTTTTAATTGAGTCACTAAAGGCTCGACATCAGCATCGGACTCTATGTTGAAATTGGGAGGCTCGTCTGGATTCACTTGTTGTGGCTGTTCAGTCATCTTCTGCTTTGATTTTTTAAAGTCCACTTATCCATTTCTTAACCAATTCACTCAACCCTAATGTCCCGATTTTGTATAGAAATCTCTAATAAGTAAGTTCAAAACGTCAAACTGAAAATGGACTATATTTTAGTGGTATTTGTGTAACGGACTTTTTCAAGAAGGAAACTTAAGCGGTTATTTTTTGCTTATATTAATGATTAAAAACAGAGAAATTTACCCGTATTATATGGGATTTGGTTGTTTATGTTAGCTGTGTTTAGTATGCATTTTTTCAATTTCCAGATAGAGGAATAAAGCTAGTTTTTATTAATAATGTACTAATTATCAACAATGCATAAACTCCCATTTAATTTGAATCGAAAATGGTGATGAAAAAAAACAATTTAAGATTACTTGGGTTGTTCAACTCTTTAAAGAACGGGAATTGTTATTTAAAATAATATTTCTAAAACAAGTTGGTAGTGAGTTTTTATCTTGATTAAATTGCTTTTTAAATACTTGGAAGAACATTTGAATTTCAAAAAAGGTGTTTAAAGTTGTGCTTTTTGTTATTTAGTATTATTTAAAATTAATAATTGAAACTATATCTTATAATAAGTTAATTTATAAAATATAGTTGTAATTATAGTTCATTAAACAATTTTTATTTAAGTTAGTTAATAGAATTTAAAACTTAAACGTTATAAGCATTTTATAACAATTAAAATTAAAAACAATTAATTATAAGTTATTAGTTGTTTTACTATATTGAAATACTTTAATAATCATTAATTTATAAAAATTATAATCAATAATTTTAATTTTGTTTTTTAATTAAAAAAAAGTTGATAATTAAAATAGTTCATATTATTATTAGTTGTAGAACTTTATATTATAATTTTATATACAATTAAAATAATTATATTTATACTTTAGTACAAATGATAATTAATTAGTAACATACTTTACTAAATTTTAATTATTATTTACTGTGTGTTCAATTATAATAGTTCATTCTATTTATTAATAAAAATAAGATCTGTTATTTAATATTACACAATAATTGAATATCAATTCTGTTGTTACTTTTTTTTATTATAACAACGTTTTAAACAATAAATTGTTGTTGTGTAATACAGTACAATAACACTCTTTATTGTGATATAATAAGACACGAAGTTTATCACAGGTGACTTTGACCAAATGATTTTAACCGATTAAAATAAACGAGACGCAAAAAAACGCGTTTAAAAAAATATAATCGAAATTTTGGTTATTGTTTTTGTTTAGATAAAATGTGTAAAATTATTTTTAGATTTTTTTAAATAAAATAACTAACAATTCTTTTGCAAACCCATTCTGCCGCACAAATCAACGAAAAATTTAATTGTAATAAGTTTGTCTTGCTATTCCGATGTTGTCACAGTTATGATAAAGATTTTTCTACTCATTACTAGTGTCTGGGAAAAAAATTGGTCGATTATGTTTCAGACCTAAAGCTAAAATCGCATTAGAATAATTGTAAAAACCTAGTGTCTGATCTCTTGTTGTAATGTGAAAACTGCTGAAAGATGCCTCTTCATACAATAGCAAATTTATATGTAATTTATTTTTAGAATTTTTTTCTCATTTTTATATTTATAGAAAAAAAACGCAATTTTTTGCGTCTCGTGCATTTTGCTAAAGAAAAAAAATACTATTGGCCGGTTAAAAACAATTAAACATCTTTAACAGGTTTGCTTGTTGTAAAAATAATAAGAGAAAACATAACTGAATTATTTTCAGTCCAAAAAGCATCAAATTTGTTTTATTTCTTTTTTATTATTATCATTCTCGACAAAAAGATTGTTTTAAACAAGATACTTGTGATATGAAAATTGTAGCACTTTCAAAAACAATAGAATGTCTTTCTGAATATGTCTTTATATCACTCTTATCATATATTATTATTATATGATATTCGCAATCTATAATATTGTAACCTTTATATAAAATATAATTATATAAAACAAAAAAAAATTTTGATAGTTTTTTTCACCTTAAAAATCATGAAAATTTTAATTAAATCATAAATAATTAAAAACAATTTTATTATATAATTTAATTTTTCATAACCAGAATTATAGTAAATAAAAAAACATTTTTTTTGAATAAAATTATTTTATTATTATTATTAATTGGTATATAAATTATAATTATAATAAAACAATAATAATAACTAAATACAAACACAAGTGACACGTAGTAACTATTAAATAGTTGAAATACAAATAATCATTAATAATGATAAAATAAGCTTTTGTTTTCTAAATTACAAAGAGAAAAGTTTCTTGTATTGATTGTTTTGTGACTAGAGTTGTATATTTTTATTCCAGAGTCACCAAAAATCAATTCTTTTCTTAGAATGCCAAATATTGAGCATAACAAATTCGGGAAAACTGAACTGATAACATATTTTGCTGTAAAAAAACATGATTGAATTAAAATATTATGATTGGACGTTTTGAGACTGATAAATGGTTCAAATTTCCCGTGTTTTTTCATATTTATAATAACCATATTAGTGTGTTCTATTTTTGTTATTATATTGAAAAAGCAATTCAAAAATAAAAGGCGTTTCACGCTTATAGTTGACTTAATGATGTTATTGTGAGTTTTTTACCACAAGAGAAATAACAAATATCACTTATTTTACAATAACGCCGGTTTTTTATATTTCTATGTTTTGTTACGCTCTTTTTCTAGATTTATATATGAAAACGTACCCGGCATTTTCTTGTTATTTGTTAAAACTCTGCCACTCTCTTGTTATATTTATCGATAAAATGTAAATAATATTAAAAATTGCATTTGAGGCTCCTCCTCAAGTACCAAAAACTTTTTCAACCCTTTCTATTCCAATGTCACATCAACATTTTTTATTAACCCGAATTTTAATATTTGAAAATTATTATTGTTCTGCATTTTTCATTATAAATTAAATAAAATTTAACTAAGATATTATTGTTTTTTTAATTTTGATTTTACCACCACAAATTCCAATACCTCTAGTTTTGAACTCATCCAATATGAAAAAATTAAACCAAACCTTTTTGATATTTTTCCAGTCACAAATAACACTTCCAACTGTGCCATTTAAACATGTTAATCTTGTTATTCAGATAAATAAAATATTCCAATGCCCCCACGTTCACTTCTCTATACAGTGCTTTTACTTTCGCTTCTCTTAGTCACTGTCTTCTCCCAAACCCCATCGAAAAAGACCAAAAGAACTTTAAAAAAGAAAATAAAACCAGATGAAACCGCAAAAGATCTTTGTATATACGATTTCATCGCAATGGATTACGAAGACCCCCATGTCACTCTTCAAACCCAAACCAATTGTTACAGTTTAATTCAAAATTACACTTCAAAAATACTTTCCTTCGACAGAGATTTGCAGTGTTACCTCCACCCCTCCAACTTTTATATCCACAAAGCTAACAACACCATTTCAAGGTGTGGTCAGGCTCTTCGTCTTGTAGGGCCGTCACAAAAGCAGTTCATTTGTTATGTAGCGGGGACTATGGAGTTATCCGCTCCAGACTTAAATAAAGATCTTCAGACTCGGATCATCGGCATTCAACGCCACAACTTAAATTACTTAACCGCCGGACTGACGGGCGCAGTCTCTTATATCTCTCAAGTCACCTTCTCACCAGAAGTCCCTGTACTTGGAGTAACCCCTTCTATTCATGTTGTTCAGAGAACAGAGAAGAGTGTTTCCTTACAAGTCATTAACTCAAATACAATCGTCGAAGCCGTCGAAGTCATCGACGGTAATCAAACCACACAGTACCCGTTGCGGCGTGACGGGCTATTTGTAGTGGACATCTCGAAAGGCCCCGTCGCGACACTTCGACTCCTCTCGGACTCCCACGAGAAGGTGTCGCTCCTCTGCGACTTCTCGAAAGGAGACGTTTTTGTGTCTGACTTTCACTTTTCTGCGAGAACGCCGCAGAAGTGTCGATTTCTAGTGGACGATGTGGTCTATCAGGAACACACGCGAACGAGTCTCCCGAGTGTTTTAAAGTGGCAGATTTGGCAAGGGACAGTGTCTGGGAGTGGGTCACAAATACCGGAAAGTGAAAGAGAAGTGTATATCAAAAAGTCAGATTATTATGAGAAAGAGGC